TGTGCAAATGTAGATTTATTTTTTACAATGTGAAAGCTGGAGGTTGCCTTCTGCAGAGGCTTCAGGAGTACGGTGCTTCATTATCTCTGTGCACAAATGACTCAGTAATTACCTTTTGCGTGTCAATCAGTAATTCGTTTTCTGAAATTCGTTTTCTGAAGTTAATTAAGAAATTTCTTTGAATTAATAATTTGTTCACATTAGGAAAATGCTGAGTTTAACAGCCCAAAAGTATAATCAAGTTATTAAAAGTATAATTAATTCAAAGGTCAAATTCATGAAGAAGATTTATTTAATTTATTAAATATGTATATATGAGTTGCAATCTGGGCTTACATTACAGAAATGTGGACAGAGTGAAAAAGATGGATGGAGGCAGCACAGATCCTCTGCTGCTAACATCTTTGTGTGCAACACTTGTTGTGCTTGTGTGCTTGCTCAAGGGACAGTTTTGGATTTCTCTTCATAATATATTCAGTTGTTATCTTTTTTATATTTAAGGTGACTTATGTTATCATTTGGAGACATATCAATAAAACTGAGATAAACTGAATAAATACAACAGATCGTGTGCAGTCCAGGGCTTGGAAGAACATTATATACATAATATGTACTATATAACCTTACTGTTTTAAGGAATGAATGCAAAGAGCGCTCACTGACACATACAGTATTGCTTCAGAGAAACATTTTAGATTAATAACATTTTAAAGTACAGCAAAGTCTGCAGTTGAGAGGAAGACAGAAACTCCACCTCTAAAATCCTGCTGTGTGGACACCAATAAATGCTCGACCTGTAGCATGCTGTGAGCAGGTGTGTATGACACGCAGGATTCATGTTGAACCACGTGCAGCTGAACACTGTGTGCAACCCAGAACACTCAGAGTTTTGGTGGTGGTACGTGTGCAGTGCTAGAGAGGTGTTACTGATGATACCTTTAAAGAGCTGGTACATGCCTGGCACTATTATGATGGCAATGGCCAGCAGCTTGCTGACAGTGAGGAAGATCTGAATCCTGGCTGTCCACGTTACGCTCATACTGTTCAGGTATATAACAGATGCTGCAGAGAGAGGGAACCATGTCAAGCAGTCATACAGTGTTTGTGACCATATTGAAGGCTCTCCATCAACAGAAAAGTCTAAGCTAGTCATATCACATTATCACATTTAGTAAGTGGGATTACTTTCTATGTAGTGACTAAAGATCAGATGTCCCTGAATGTTGTTTTCTGTGCTAACGTCAGTCACAACCTGTGCCTTACAAGAAACCAGTTCAGAATTGAAGGAAAAATTTTGTAAGCTTTTTGATACACAGATGCCTTTAGCTACATTTGGGCGTGGGGGGCATTTGTTTTTGTCAAAACGTGTTTATATTATATTATATTATAATAATTATATAATATACAAATATATCAAGTGGTGTCTTTTCAGTCTTCCACTTCACTCCAGCTCACCCTGTACTGGGTTACTTGGGCCCCTCAGCCTTGTATCCCACTGACAGGCCTTCAGAAGAGAAAGCAGAGTTGGAGGACCAGGGTCCCTGAGGTAGTTAAATTACTACTTGGTGGCAGAAGCTCTGCATTGGATGAGATTCACACTGAGTTCCTCTATGTTTTTGGACTCTCTTGCATTGAGTGGAGAACTGAGGTGGAGTCTCTGTATTGGCAAACTGTGGTTACAATTACCATCTTTAAGAAATATCCCCTTTCGAGGATATTTAATGTGCGTCAGCATTTTTTCTGAACCATTCTACAAATGTTTTGTTCGTTTGGAGAAGGTATCTGACTGCATCCGTCAAGGTATCCTGTGGCAGGTGCTACAGGAGTATGGGGTACCTGACCCACTGTTCCAAGCCATTGTGCAACTACAGCGAGAGCTCGGAAGGTCGCTTTGTTGGAAATAAGTTGGACTAATTTGCACTGGGTGCTGGACGGCACTAAGGCATTTCTGTGTCACCGATTATGTTCAGAATTTCTATGGACAGAAATTCTAGTTGGAGCCAAATTATGGAAGGCTTCAACTTTGGTGGCCTCATCTCTGCTTTTAGTGGCTAAAGTAGTTCTGCTGGCTTCATCAGAAATAGAGCCAATACCCCTCTGCAATGACAGGAACCAGTTGAGGTGGCTCGACCATCTGCCTAGCACCCTCCCTGACTGGCCTCAAGATAGACCCAGGACATGCTAGAGACATTACATCTCTCGGCTAGACTGACAAAGCCCTGATGTTCCCTCAGATAAATGAGAAGGATCAACTAATTCACTCAGCTAATCCTTTAGTTGGGAAACCATGATGTGATTATTTATTCCATCAATAATTTGTTGTGTTGACAAAACAAATTATACTTTATGTTCAAACATTTATGATATAAACAAAATGTCCTACTTTTGACAGAATTCAAACTCAGTTATTTACAGTGCTGAACGTGGGAAAGTTTGGCTGAATATGAGAAACTGAGCAACTATCAGTGTGTATAATCAGTGGCCCAGTTTAAAATGCTCTGAAATGCTCATTCATGTGAATTTGCTATACTGGAGATTGTATTAGTATGTTGTGCCCTATGATTGTGTTTAGAAGGTTGATAAGCTGAGGATAGTCCTGGGTCTTTTTGTCAAACCCCTCTTCCTTCTCATGCACACTTCTGTCTTCTGCTATTTACCCGAGCTATTTACAACACACTTCACAACAATTCACTAAGATAACATCTGGGCATATTATAACACTCCTTATTACAGTAGCAAAGGTATATACTTAGGCCAATGGCTGTGGCCAGTTTGACAGCCAGGGGGGGGATACCACATGGCATGAACAGAGGTTCCAGGATGTACTGACCAAAGGCCAGAGAAATGACTGCCATGGCTGCAGGCCTGCAAGATGCAACCAAATATGTCAGTTTTTACATTAACATTAATTTATATAACCTTAGGTAACATTCATACGTCCATAAAAGATTATCACTTATGTTTCCAGCCTTGTAGAGTATTTTAGTCACCTTCAACTACAGCTTTGTTTCATTGTCTGCATCTTCACCTTTGGCAGTCTCATCAAGTCATTACAGCAAAAAAGACATGGTTCTAGAGCTAGCACTGAAGGTGGTGACCAAAGTCAAAGCTAATACAAAGCAAATACATGACTTTGATTCATTGCAGCTGGACATGAAACAAAGAAATGCAGTAGTGGATATGGGAAAACAAGCGTCTGTTAGATGGCAGCATATTTGTTATATTGTTATATTTGTTTTTGCGATATACATTTTTAAAAGCAAGTGAAACACAAAAGTCACAAAAATGAAATCAAAGGATCTCAGTTTGATGGGTTTTTAACCCAGCATAATACAGCTGATGCTGAAAGATCCAACACGACCTCATAGAAATTTATGAAATATGTGACATGACTTCTTAGAAAAAAATTACTTGGTGATGGTACATGTGTTAGATCATAAATAAGTTAAAAAAAACAACAACGTTTACTTATACAGCACATTTCACAGACTCTGGTCTATTTAAAAGCTTTCTCCAATAAATATGATCGTGGTGATTTCCAAGCCGGCTTTCACATCCCGCTGTAAGTCCCGCTGTAGCAGGTATAACGATGGGAGTTTGTTTGTAATATCAGATGGGCAATTTCCTAGACATAACATTTCCATAATCACATCCTCATGTGTGCACAGTAGTGGGCTTGGTTTCAATATGAATGAAACAATACTGGCTAGTCCCAAAGGCTCAGCTTCTGGCTCATCTGTATTTCTCTCTTCATTTCCCACAGCAGTCACTGCAGCCGGGGAAATCGCTCTTTGTCCCCCTCATTCTTGTTTTCATTCTCTGCCTCCCTCTCTGTTCATTTCCCATGGTTTCCATTCAGTCCTTGTAGCCTGAGGGTAGCATAAGATTGTGCAGCTCCAAATAGCCAGTAGACTGGTTTGTACTGCTTCACCTTGTCTGTGTACACATCCACTTCCATAGAGCATTTTTTCAACTCTGTGGTACAAAGTAAACTTAGTGTCACATGCAGCCATTCAGCCTTTGCTCCCCACCAAACACAGTCTGAGAGATTATGTATACACCATTTTTTTTGTAAAATAGAGACTACACAATATTTGCAACACATTGGGTGACTAGAGGTGTACGAGTTGTTTTCTGCTCCTCCACCAATTACAGCAGCGATGACTTGTGTGATGGTGATGATGTAAAAGCCTGAGATTGAGAGAAATTATTTTTGTGTTGATGTTGTATAATCTAAACTAGAGCACCCAAATGCAATAATATATTTAATATAATAGAAATAACACTGTCATTTAAATTCATCTATAGCTTCTTGTCTTTTCTTCTTAAACTTTTTCATCACCTCCATACAACTTGTTGTATTTTGTGTTGAATAAGTCCCTGTAACTGTACAAACACATACAATTAGACAATTTATATAATCAGATTTATTGTCAACTCGTGGTTACATGTGACACCCCGAGTCTAAACTTTCAATTCAGTTTAGTTTTATTTATACTATGTGGTCACTAATGAGCAACAGATCTGTAAATCAAACTGAAAGATAACACTTATAAAGATGTTATGGCAAAGGTCCCATCAGGGTTGATGAGTAACATCAGCTTCCTTTTTGAATCATGTTAATACTCACTTAAGTCCAATATTTGCTCTTGTTTAGCTTTGTTTTTGGTCTCCACCAACTACTGACCTGTCACTGACTGCATCTGTCTCTCTGTTTGCTGCCGAGTTAGGATTGTATTAAGGCTTTACACTGTTACAGAAAATAGCTGCTTACTGCTGGAACCAGTGACTCTTGCCACCACAAGCAACATCCTTTATATTATACTTTGTGACAAAAAACAATGATTTGTAGAGCTAAAGATTCAGACTTAATTTAAGGCAAAAAGTATTACCTTATAGCAATGAGATCAGCCCATAATCTTATAAAAGCCATCTGAGGTCCAAACGCTTCCATTATGTATGTGTAATGCCCACCAGACTTCTTAATGCATGTTCCCAGTTCAGCATAGGACAGGGCTCCTGCAGTGACAGAGGTGACATATTAATCCCTGCTCAGAAACAAGAGGCTAGATACATACCAGTCCCAGGACTGTTAAACTGTCTCAGAGGTGTACTCTTTCCCCTTTGTGTCCATGATTAGAGCAATGTATTATTGCGCAAGCTGCCTCAGTTCTGTAGCAACGTTTTTGAGTGGAAAAAAGCATCACATTTATCCATCTCAGTACAGGCTTGGCAACAGCCATTAGGTATCAGGTGCAGTGGGTCCTGGGTTCCTTCTGGTGCATGACAGTACCC